ACGTGCTACCTGCTACCTGCTACCTGCTACCTGCTACTACTACTACTACTACTACTACTACTACTACTACTACTACTGCTAACTACTACTACTACTACTACTACTACTACTACTACTACTACTACTGCTATCTGCTTTTTCTACTGCTACATGTGCAGTGCACATTGATCGCAACGGCTTCGTGTTACACCGTAAATTTACAGTGGCCTGCCACTATCCAAGCCTTTTTACTTATGCAGTTTCTTCGGGTGCCACCAGTGGATGCGCCAGCGAATGGGGGTGGGGGGCAGGGGGCCAGGGGCTAGAGAACGACCGCTTAGTGCACATCGCGGAGTATGCATCGGGCAAGCGTAGTCGGTAATTAGGGCGGGGTGGGTGGTTAGTGCGACGAAAACAACAACTACTGCTCCGCCTCCTGCTGCTGCTGCACAGCTGCTACTGCTACCGCTGCCACTAGTATTGTAAGTAGGGAGGAGCAGAGCATGTCTGTGGATGCTGTTTGAAAGCTGTCTATCGCAGAGGCGAGGTGATGCCACTGCATTCATACAAAGGCATGCGCCAGCCATAAAGCCCAGAGCCTTTGTGGCTCAACTTTGTTACCTTTCCGTCCCCCTCTTCCGGCTTCTTTCCGCACACCTGACACAGGTGGGCTGGAATGGCCAACGGTTGCTTCTAACTTCTAACTTTGTATAGTCAGGCTGTCGGGGCAAAGATTCTAGTTGCGCGAGGCATCATGGGCTGCTCTTCCAGCGTGAGTGTGATGCACGACGATGTGGAAGATACTGGCGTCGCCCGTGTCGTCTTCACGGACTGCCGGCATGTCCCGTTGTCCATATTGGCACAGCACTTGCCAGCGCGCATCTCAGTAAGGCTACCCTGTTCGGCACAGAATCATTTGCAGGACGGCGCTGGACAAGAGTTCGTGCAGCAGTCTGCGCCGTTCAAGGACTGGGATCTGGGGGACAGGGCTAACTTAGGTCGGACCTTGCAAGGCAAGCCAGCTTCTAATTTATCTGAGTCGCCTAGGAGGGCCTTCGACGCTTCAACTCCATGCGAGTCAGCGACAAAGATGCTTCTGGAATCAACGTCCCGCTTGCAAGCACCCACAACCACCATGTGAAGCAGCATCTTGCATGCAACGTCGGCGAGTTTTTCAAGTACACTAGAGGCATGCTGGTCAGTCTCCGAGTCAAGGCTCCCTCCCTCCCTACCTACCTACCTACCAGTCCATCCTTCTTTCGATCCGGTATCTCTCTGTATGTATGTATGTATGTATGGATGGATGGATGTATGTATGGATGTATGGATGTATGCATGTATGGGTGTATGGATGTATGTATGTATGTATGTATGTATGTATGTATGTATGTATGTATGTCTTTGTGTATGTATTTGTGCATGTATGTATGTATGTAGGTATGTATGCATGTATGTATGCATGCATGTATGTATGCATGTATGTATGCATGCATGGATGTATGTATGTATGTATGTATGTAAGCATGGATGTATGTATGTGTGTATGTATGTATGTATGTATGTATGTATGTATGTATGTATGTATGTATGTATGTACACATGTGCACGCACGGACAAAATACGTGGCATGTGCATAATGCACACGCGCATTCATACGTACGTACGTGCGCGTGCATACATACCTACATACATACATGCATACATACATACATACATACATAAACACACACGCATACGTACATACATACATACTTACCTACAGATGTATCTGTGTGTGTGTGTGTTCATAATATGTTTACGTAGCTGCATGTACGTTTTCTCATGCATCTATGCGTATATCTGCATTCTGTCTCTATCAATATTAATTCATTTATCTTTCTGTACTGTTCATATCTGTGTCTATGTCTATGTTCATATCTGTCTCTATCTGCTACCTACTACCTGCTACGTGCTATCTGTCAGCTGCCTGCTGCTAGCTCCTTCTCTAGCTAAATCCCTATCCCGATCTGCGTATGTATTTCTAACTTATCTTTCTAGCTGCTTGTTCATCTATATCCATTCGCGTGCGGACGGTTGCGTGCTGCAGCCGAAGATGCACACCTCATGCTGGTCGGAGTTTACTGATGTAAGTCTTTGGGGGGGTTCAGTGTAAGCGACTCCGAACCCCTAAACCCTAAACCCTAAATCCTAAACCTCTTCATGGGTTGTCAAGTTGCGGCACACAGAGGCTCAACAAGTTCCTGGCGGCCATCGAGCAGAACCCGAGGTTGCTGGAGAAGAGGGTGCTGCCCAGCCAGGTTCCCAAGAACTGCGGCCGGACAGCGGCGCTCCTGAAAGTTGACAAGGAGCCGGGGCTGCTTGTGGCAGTGAGGGTTTAGGGTTTTGGGTTTAGGGTTCACTAAGTTTCCGGTTCATTCTTTGTTAGACCCCAAATACCCAGTCTAAGTCAAAAGGTTGTTATGCTAATGGACCCTAAACCCTAAACCCTAAACCCTGGTCAGGAACTCTCGGAGAAGAGCTGGGCGGAGGCTAGCACAGATGTGTCCAGCCCGGGCAGCATTGTTTAGAAGACCCCGACTTTCCCTGCCCCTGCGCCTTTCGACCGACGGCCGTGGCGTTGGGATGTCATTGGGGTTGTAATGCTCTGCCCCATGGCCATTCTGGCATCTTTGCATCATTGCAGATCATATGCCCATTTGCAGTTCTCCGCGCGGGTGTTCATGTCGTTTCCGGATGTTTCGTTGCTGAGACTCGAACCTGGGACATGCTTCACCGGCACGGACCATGTCGTCTGTGACTTATAAAGGGCTTATAGTCTGGCTGTTTTTGGCAGAGTGAGACCACCTGCCACCTTGTCTTGAGTGCGCGCGTGCTGTCAGCAGATGTCGTCAGAAATGTGTTAGCAGGTCTTGTGCAGACAGCATGCTGCGCACTATTTATGGCTCTGACCGTGTAGCCCCAATGTGGCTGCGCGGGTCAAGCCAGTTCTCAGTGAGTACCGATGGGTTGACTCTCAACCACATGTCGGTCAGCTTGAAGTTTGGCAGCGTGAGGGAAGGCAGCTGAGGTCAAGCCATGCTGCCAAGAAACGGGCTCAGAAACTGGAGTCCAATGCTTCCCTCCTTTCACTGCACACTTCCAGACGTTTTCCCATCAAGGGATGGGACTTTTCATTTTCATGTCATCCTCTACATCACCCTGCGGGTGTTCGAACGATCTGACCGCCCTTGGAGCTCGCGTGTAGCAATCGTCGTCGTAGCAGTATCTCTGGCGAAGGCTTGTTTGTGGCACTGGTGGTGATAGTGGCACTCGCAGCAGTAACTGTCACCAGCCGCAGTGCTGTTCGTAGGCGAGGCGAGAGTTGTAGTGCTGTAGCAAAAAGCAGTGGAAGCACTAGTCGTCGTCACAGCAGTAGAAGTAGCGGTGTGCAGCGACTAGTAGTAGTAGTAGTAGTA